CTCGCTTTGGTGGGGAAACAGTTTCACCATGAGAAGACAGTCAGTAAGGCTTCTTCAGGAGAGGCTACTCGATAGCTGGGTCGTATAGGAGCATTTCACGAGGTGCAAGGAAAAGGTGAATAGTGAAAAACAGTAGACACAGCCTTTCCCACTTGAATTTTTGGAAGTAACTGCCATGCGACTCTATCACAGATAAACTGCCCCTTTGATCCCCGCGATAGTTATTTATTCTTGTGCGTCAATTTTTGCACCTCGAGGCCGAGAATGAAACCGCACGAAACGTCTGGATTGAGCACCTCGTGCATAAAGGAAAAGCCGCCTTGCAGAAACAGAACATAGATGTTTAAAAGTGATNTGTTTATCTATTAGCAGCCTCGAAATTCCGTGCGATATTTCGTACGAATAGCGGAACTCGTGACAATCGTTATTTCCAATCCATCACTATGATCACCGGAGATTGGTCAAAACACTGGCCTCCTCGACCTGTAGCTGATCCGAAAATGAAACCTGATCATACCTTCTATCAAGNAGTGATGAAGACGTCAGGATTTGCACCTCCCACCGAACAGTGGATGGGTCAACGGAGCTGTAAGAACACCATGATTGATTATTCAGTCCTTCCAAATTTGCACGTTACTTCCCTCTTCTTTTTTAAAGCAATTTTATTGAATAAACGCCATTCTGTAGAAAGTTGAGCACTTCTCAAGTCTAAACTCCTCAATTGTTTCACCGTGGTGTACTTGACGAGGTGGAACCTCTTATGAGTTTTGGAAAGGTTTTTTTTTCACTTACAAGCTGAAGCGGTTGAACTGTGTGAGAAAGAATGATAGAGAAGTGTTCAATTTTTTTCTCACCCAGCTCAATTACTGAATGGTCCGAGTTCAAATTTAAATGAGTCGGGGATAATTTCAGTGAATTGAACTTGGCGCTCTTTTATTTCACCTCAATTTTCAAGTGTCCATATAACCTTCCCTCACCACAAAAACCGCGCGTTCCTCTCTCTCCACACACACTCCTCCCCCCCCCCCCGATCACTTCTAAATTGCATGTAATTTCGATTCCGTTTAACCGTGCTATTGGTACTTTTACACCTCCGTTAGACGAGTTTCTCTATCCTGTACGGAGCTATCCGACAACTTTGCTTATCCGATACTGAACGAATGCCAATAGCCATACACTTCATGATACATATCACAATAAGATTGGCGATCTGATCAAATAGACAAGAGATGATCTCGAGAGATGTCGATGATGAAAAGTGTTTTGTTCGACTGGACGCGTCGTTTAGTGTGTTCTAATCGCAGGGCACGGATGGGTGGGTGGGACTTACGAGAATGTTTTATTACTTCCTCGTGTGTGCGAAATCTGATGGTCAAATACAGTTTGGAGGAGCCATTGATCAAATTGGATACTTATCCATTCTTGGTGATAGTATTCTGGATTTGAAAACATTGTATGCAGTACGGGAAAATAACGTATGTAATAGAAGAGACTGATGTGGTATTTTTGAAGAGGCCATACATTACATTTCGAAATGAATAATCCGGGAAGAGAGTAGTGCCTGTTTGGAGAGGTTCAGTATGATTCTCTTCTGTGCGCAAACTTGCGAAGCAGACTCCATCATCAAGAATTTGTGTTCATTTCTCAGCAGTTTGTTTGCCAGAAAAGTGATTCTTTTGCTTGTGCAAAAGTAAGAAACATACTCAATCTTATTCGAATATTATTATCATTATTATTGTATCATTCCCATCCCTACTTAAATAGTTCAATTATGAAGTCTCAGGAGGAATCAGGAATTGTTCATTGACGATAAAGAGGCCTTATCCATTGCTGTACATGTTACCAACATAGTTTAACTAAGCACATTCCCAATACGGTTGATTGGGCATCATCATCATCATCACGTGAACCGTTGCAATTGATTTGCGACATTTCATTTGGGGGCTCAAAGCTGTCCCCCGCAACTGTACACATGGCCGGCAGACGGATTCATCACTCAGTATGGTAATTATCCAGCGGTTCGCCATTTAAAGTCATACCCACTTAACCAATCAAAAAATGACCAAGGGGTTTATTGCTCGCGCTATACATCACACAAGGGGTATACAATACCTTGTTGTGAGTCCAGTGTGGCTGAATAGTGATTTCAATTTATGTGCATACACTGAATAAAATACTCGGATAGTAAGCACTGTATAAGATAGAGTAGTAGATAGTTAGATGTGTATCAAGCTGTTGAGATCCAATCCCCAATCCCCCAAAGCGGTTAAAGCGTCGAATAGATAACCCCTTGTGTACGAGTTTCAACTGTTGTGCAACATGGCAGATATGCTTGGTTTCTGTTGCTGCACATTCCAGACAAGCTGGATGAAACAGCTACACAGGGCCTCCAGGCTATTTCTGACAAATACTTCTTTATGAATAATAATAATAATAATAATAATAATAATAATAATAATAATAGGTGATCGAGGTGTGCTACTTTGAACGTCATTTTTGAGAAAACCGAATAATAATTGGTTCATCACGCCGTATAGTTGTACAGTTTTAACCTGAAACTATTTTCGAAGGAAATGTTTGATCAACTTGAGCGACAATCGGGAATTTCCGTGCACGAAGTGTCGATAACTGGAGCCAATGGAAATCTGATCGATGAGATTGTGACTAGATCCCGAACAGGATGCGTATTGTGAGTAGGATGTATTATTCGGAATCATATATACATATAGACAAAGTTATGCTCGCTGGTCCCCGCTGGATTGAGATTTTGCACCGGGGTTGTATGTGCATGCTCACTGTTCCATAATGGGAGCGCAACGCATACTGCACGCGCTTGCTCTATTTGTTGTACCGGATCACGGAAGTGTTCTGCATACTTTCCAATCATGAACTCACCGAATGCGCTCCTATTCGCTCGGTGAGACTGCCCTCAAATACTGACATGCGACCTCTCAGCACTCCGCACTTCTTGTAAAGTATCCCCAGTTTGGGACTAATCAACTGCTCAGCGATGCGCAACGGTTCCCGTATATGCAGCACACGGTTGGCCTCGTTATATCCATCTGACCCTTCGTTATAGTTCTGTAAGTGACCCAACTCCTGTGGCGATATACACGAATTGAATCATTTCAAACTGACTCCAAATGCACTTGTCATAATGAACTGTGATGAGAATTGTTCACGTGCGTGTTTTGTCGCTGATACTCTCTCTCTCTCTGTATGTGTGTGTGTGTGTGTGTGTGTGTGTGTGTGTGTGTGTGTGTGTGTGTGTGTGAACATACTTACACACAGAGAGTAATCCACTTAGTCACTTAAGTTCCTGAACAAGTATACTTTGCCAAATTTAGAGACTGCGGTTTCGTACGACACACGTATGCAACATGCGCGCGCGCACACACAGAGTATAATCAAGTTCTGGTTTACTCATCTTGCGCGCGCTCTCTCTCTCTTGAGCGGGAGTTGTGCATAGTTCCTGTCAATGAACTGGGTCTAGGCTCTTTTCTATCCTGCTTCTGTTCTACGACAAAACATTATTTCCGAAATCCGTTTTGGGTAGCATCACACTTCGCCTTCCGATCCCACCCACCCCTCCGACCCCCCCCCTCATCCGCA